GCCTACACTTACATGGGCAGACCGCTTTACCTACACAGACCGTAACGGGGGGCGGGTGATCGTTTTAGCCCGTCCTTTGGACTGTTGTGAGGATCAAAGGTGACCTAGCAGGTGAAATCCTTCCACAGTCGCTTTGCCCAAAGCTAGCCCTCAGGAAATATTAGATGTTATGTTTGGTACAATTAATAATGGAACCGGAAAAGTGAAAATCTACTTAAAAGGTAGGTGCGGCTGCGTGTTGTGAATCAGGTGAGCAAAGCGAGCCTGAGCGAGGGGTGCAGGGCACCTGCCTTCTCTCCGGGGGAAGTGAAGGAAGTCTTCCTGGAAGAAGGGACTTCCAGGTTAAGAGCTAAAGGACCAACAGGAGTTGCCAGGCAGAGAGCATCCCAGAGCGACAGACACATGAGCCAAGGCTCGGTGGTCCAGGTCTGTCTAGAGAAGCGTGAGGTGCTTCCGTTTTCGGGACCCAGTATCAGAAGAGGCTGGAGGGGGACGTGGGTTCAGTTCATAACGGGTCTTGCTTTTTAATTTCAGGAACCTCGTACTTGGTCTTTACCTAACAGGCTGTGAGGAGCGAGGGAGTGGCAGGGGAGTGACATATATGGATTTTCATGTTATACGGATAATTAGGCACCCGACTTATGTCTGGATGGGGACAAAGCTATCCGTGCCTGAGAGACTAGTTAGGAGACGTTTGTAGCAAACCAAGTGAGAAGTCACGAGGACTAGACTGGGTTGCAAACATGACAAACAGGTGCCACCACTGGAGAAACCCAGCCGAATGGGAACTGGCTGCCGCGACCTGGAGAACTCACCCCCCCGCACCCAGGGGTCATCGCAACTTCAGCCTGAAGAACTTCCTTCGAAATTCCTCGGAGAACAGGTTTGCAAGTGACAGTTTCGTTCCACTTTGCTTTGTCTAAAAACGTATTTTAAAATTTCTCTTTCTGCCTATTCTTCCGTGAACCTAGAACTGCTCTAAAAAATAAAATCTATTAAAAAAAAAAAAAAAAGTGCTTCGCCTTATTTTTGAAGGACAGTTTCGCTGAGTATAGAATTCTGACTTGACAAGGTTTTCTTTTTCTTCCAGTGCTTCGAATGGCCGTTCCCGCACCTTCTGGTTCGCACTGTTTCGGATGAGAAGCCGCCGGTGACTCCTACGCTCCCCTGCATGCAGTCTTTACTCCGGTTTCTACAAAAACACTTTTAATTGCTTATTTCCAACAATTCGATCATCCTGTGCCTTGATGTGTTTTTCTTTATATTTCTCTTTCTCGGAGTTCATTGAGCTCCCAGGATATATGAGTTTATTGTTTGCATCAAGTTTACAAAAAATTTTGGCCAGCGTTTCTCAGAACTTTCTCTCCCTTCCTGCTGCTCCACCAACTAGACGTGCGTTCGAGTGCTGGATGTCGCCTCACAGACCTTCGAGGGTCTTCGCTGTTTCCGGTGCCCTTTCTCCCTGGGCTTCAGTTTGGCGAGTTTCTACTCTACTGGTTACAAGTCGACTGGCCATTTTTTCTATGGTGTCTAATCCGAAGCCCATATGGGAAAATTCTTTTTCCAGTTATTTCTATTTCTCTATTCAGATTGTAAAATGTGTTCCCTCGTTTTTTTTGTTTGTTTGTTTCCCTATAAATATGTGAACATTTTAATGCAGAGTCTGGGTTTATGTCTAGTCACTGATTTTTCTCGTGATTATGGGTCATGATGTTTCTTCACGCGACTAGGACATTTTGGTTTTGTGTCGAACAGTGCCGTGTGTCTGGATTTTACTGTCTTCTTTAACAAATGCGGAGTTTTGTTCTGGTAGGCAGTTGACTTACAGAGTGAGTTGATTCTTCCAGATTTAAAGTTTTGCTAGAATGGGTCCAGAGTGCTTTTACTTTAGAACTAGATAAAACCTGCTTGTATGGCATGTTACGGACTGAATGTTTGTGTCCGCCTCAAATGCATATGTTGAAGCCCTAACCTAATGCTGTGTGCTGGTATTTGGGGGTAGGGCCTTTGGGATGTGATTACGGTTGGCCGAGGTCGTGAGGGCAGAGCCCTCAGGATGGGATTAGGGTCCTTGTAAGAAGACACACCAGAGAGCTTGCTTTCTCTCTCTCCCTCCCTCCCCACCAGGTGAGGACACAGACAGAAGGTGGCCATCTGCAAGCCAGGAGGGGAGCTCTCCATAGGCACCGAACATGCTAGCACCCCGATCTCAGATTCTAGCCCCCAGAACTGTGAGACAGGGATGTCTGCTGATTCGGCAGTGCAGCCTGTGGCGCTATGGCAGCCTGAGGTGACAGAGACGTGGCCTTTCTGCGCCCCTGCTGAATGCTCGGTGGTCAGAACGCCCACGACCCCAGCCTTGTGCCAGCCAGGCCACCAGTTGTTGGGGTCGGCCTTCTCAGTGCTGTTCTCCACCCCACCCCACCCCACCCCACCGCCCCTGCCAGTGGCTGTGGTCCAGCCTGTGTGCCTAAGCGGCTAGTGTTTGACTGAACACCCCGGGGAGAGCCCTGCATCTTTCTGGAGCATGCCTCCCGCACCGGGTTCCCGGCCCTGAGAATCTGCTGCCTCAGTGGGCCCAGATCCCAGCGTTGTCTCTCCGGCTGGTGAACTGGCCGTGCCCTGTTTGGTCCCATCGCTGACCTGCTGTCCACACAGCGCCTCCAGGCAGAAAGCGAGGGCGACCGTGGGCTGCCCCGCACTGCTCTGCCTGTCGCCCCACATCTCTGAGCAGTTACTTCACGTTGCTCTGGGGTTCCTCCCCGTGAGGGGATGGTCTGGCATCGGTGACTCTGCACAGTCAGAAGCAGAAGAGAAAAGGAAGGCCACGTGGGCAGCAGCTGGGGGAGTTCCCCTTTGTCGACCTGTCTTTTGCGTGGACCAATAGACAGCATCACCCCCAAAGTGTGTGGGTGGCAGTGAAGGGGTGTGGAGGACAGTCACAAAGAGCTGCAGCATCGCTGTGGGCTGGGGTCGCGAGACCCCGCGTGCACAGCGGCAGCCACCGGTGGCAGGCGGGCTGGGCCTGGAGACAGTGGACAGATGAGCACACCTGGCAGACGACAGGATCGTGGGGGTGTGGGGGGACAGTAGAGTGAGGACAACGGAAACTAGGCTGCAGAAGGACACGACGGTGTCACAGAGGAGAAGTGGAGGGGTTGGGGGTGAGAGCGTTTTGGGGTCTACAGAACAGGTGCAGAGGGAGTAAAGGAACACGTTAGAATCCTAGGACATTCCGGACAGAAAGGACATCTGCGTGTCATCTTTCACACGTGGAGCACGAGGCCCAGTGCGGTCCAGGGAGGACGTTTCCGGAGGCGAGGAGCGACTGTGCAGTGACAGCGTCTGGACTGCGGAAGGCCCCGGGACGTTAAGTCTCGGTGGGACAAAACCCACGGCGAACTCAGCGCTGAAATCCCGAACAAAGGGGACGGGTTGAAGGTCACTAAGGGACAGTGGGGCCGGGCACTGGAAGCAGAGCTGCCCGCAGCCCGTGTATCCAAGGAGCACTGTTCCTGTGTGGCATCTGGGCTGCGGGTCGGTGTGGGCCCCGCAGCTGAGCCCGAGCGGTGGGAGCCAGGACCGTCTGTGTCTGCGGACGCCGTGCTGCGTGCTGCGTGCTCCGCGCCACGTGCTCCGTGCTCCGTGCTCCGCGCTCCGCTCTGCGCACCGGGCGCCCCTTGGACTGTGGGCATCGCATGTTAGGTGCTTTCCCACGGGCGGAGTAACTGGTCTTGAAGAAGATGCGCCTGTTTCCGATTTGCACAAAAGCGCTTGCGGGTGGTCGTCGCCCGGGTGGGGGCACCGAGACGGACGCCAGGGAGCATCCGGGGGAAGACGGGCTCTGTCAGAGCCCAGGGACAGCGAGCAGCGCGGGGGCCGAGGATGGCGCGCGGCAGGTGGTTTCAGCTGGAAGGGCCAGGACCGGCCCGTGGGAAGTCGGGTCGAGGGAAGGAAAACAGGACGGAGGGGCTGAGAAGCCAGGAGAGAAAGGATGACTCGGGGCCTTATGTCTTGGTGGTGACTGAGGGTGACAGAGGGTGACAGTGACATGGGACAGGGAAAGGCGACTCCGCGAGGTTTTCGGAGTGGCGTCCTAGTGCCTGCTCTGCGGTGGACGGTCAGGGAGCTGGCGGGGGCGGACCGGACGGAGCCCTGGGGCGCGAGGTGCTCTCGAGGCCTGACTTGCGCATTTCCTGCATCTTCAGGTCCCAGATGCTCAACCCATGATGGACAGATTGGCGACGCCTCGTGATTCCTGTGGGGGCCGGGGTCTCAGTGGTCCCCTCTCAGCCTCCCCACCACGTCTTTCCGCTTTCACCGTTGGGGTCTCCCCACTCTGGCTTCTGTGCTCTCCCTTTGGGTCCCATCGCGAACGCCCTTCCCTGGAGCCTCGGCGCCCTGGGCACAGCCGGTTTACAGGTGCCACCTTTCAGGCAGGGCAGAGGGTGCCCGTGGAAGGTGAAGGGAGGAATCCAGGCGTTGCCGACATGACTTATCTCTGCCCTCATCCGGGCTGCTTCTGTCACCTGGCCACCTCAGCTCCATGGAGACGGGAGATGCCACCGAGCGCCAGAGAGCCCCAACCGCAGCCGTGGGGGAGGGGCCTTCCCTCTGGCCGGGTCATTTTCCCCAGTGGCCTTGGGCCCAATATTCTTTAAAGGTTCCTGATAAAGCCAACTACTTTATCAGAAGCTCGCTGCTTATCCCTTCCTGGGTGTGACCCCGTGACTGCTCAGGCCAGACGTGCCTGTGGCCATTCTCTGTGTCGTCACCCTGGCACAGCCCACTCCCTGCCGGGTGCCCTGGCCCCGGAAGACTGGCCTGCCCGGCGACACCTCAGCTCCTTTGTTAACACAGGGTCCAAAGGGTTGGTCCCACGGGGAGAAGGGTTATCTGCGCTTGCTGAGCAAACAGAGAGGAGATGATAAAACGGCCCGTGCCTGCTGCGGACGGCAGTGGGAACTGTGCCTGCTGCCGACGGCCCCGTGGAGCCCAGCATGGACGTGGGATGTCGAGGCGCCCGGCTCCTGGCAGCGGTCCTCGTCCTGGGCCTGTGCGCCCCGGCGGGAGCCGAGAAACCTTGTAAGTGGCCCTCGGCGGCTTGGTGTCCTCCACCAAGGGGCAGGGAGGCATTCGGGCCAGTGAGCCCAGAGAAGCTTCTAGGGCACCACACGCAACGGGGGTGTGTGAGCGCTTCGCTTCTTGCGGTGCCCCCCCCCCCCGAGCCTTTGTTCCTATTTCCCTCAGAAAGAAAAGGTGGATGATGCATGAACTTGAGAGAGGACGCAACTAGCAAGGCCCTGAGACTTGTGGCCTTGGCCGCAGAGCCACTCCTGTCTACCCACACACACGCTTCCCTGCTCTCCAGGGAGGACACTTGGGGTCCTCCGTCCGGGAATGACCAGATGACCACAGGGCTGGGGGGCCAGCTTGAGGAGAGGTGTGGGCGGAGGCCCCGCCAAGGGCCCGTTGGAGTCTGGCCTTGGTCACCTTTCATCTTGACCTCTGCCTGGGTCCCTCTGTCCATCTCTTTCCAGAAGGTTACTTTATTCTTTAGTTTTATTTTTTATTAAACAATTTCAGCAAAGCCCTGTCAAACATGGCTGGGATAAGACGTTGCATTTCCCCGTGTGGCCGCACCCTGGGGGACAGAGGGTGTCCAGACCCTGCCCCTGAGGGGAGGTGAGGTGGGGGTCTGACCGAGGGTCTCCCCACAGCCCCCTGCCAGTGCTCCAGGACGAGCCCCCAGACCAGGAAGAACTGTGGCTTCCCTGGCATCACCAGTGACCAGTGCTTCAAGGCGGGGTGCTGCTTCGACTCCAGCGTCGTGGGGGTCCCCTGGTGCTTTGACCCCCTCCCGAAGCAAGGTAACCCACAGGAGGGCAGGACCCTCTTCCTGCGCCCACGGCCAGCAGCCCAGTACCTGCTAGGGGCACAGGGACTCGTGCCTGGGGAAGAGAAAGCGCCCCCTCACCCCACGCCCACACCTGGAGTCCCAAGTGCCGGCCGTTTGCCCCTTCCCGCAGCTACACGTGGGACCCCACATACGTACGGTACTTGTTTTTCTGTATTTGGAGAAAAACCAACTCTCAGGCCTCTCGGCTGTAAAGCGTGGCTTCTGAAGGGGCTCTCGGGGGTGAGGCATTAATGGGACATCACTCACCAGTGCCCACAGACCGCAGCCACTGAGACCTTAGCCCTCCGGGTCACCTTTGGAGAGCAAGTTTCCTGTCCGTGCGCGTGATCGAGACCGACGGCCATTACCTGTGAGGCGTGCACGAAAGGACGTTGTGTGTGCAAAGCTATGTGTCTGGAACTGGGCCTCCCGGCCACCTGTCCACACTCCCCGGGCTCTGAGGCCGGTCGTTGGCCAGGACCCCCGCCTCGAGGGAATCCTGCTGGGTCTCAGGACTTGGGCCAGTGCTTTTCACGCATAAAGGGTGGTCTGCAGCCTTTTGTCACCTGGTACCGTGGGCCACCCCGATTTTCAGAGGGGACGCCAGGTCCAGAGAGGAGAAACGACTCCTGTGAGGCCCCAGCATTCCAGGTCTTCCGACCTGTGGCGTCTGTGGGGAGTGAGGGGTGGCCAGCTGCTGGCGCCAACACGGTCCTTGGGTGTCACAGCTCCGGAAGTCCCTCGTGACACATTGGGGCCATGAATCCAGCGGTGTTCCCGGGGAGGGTGGGCGTGGAAGTTTCTGGTTAACTCGAGGGCCTGACTGAGTCTCCATGTGGTTCCCCTCGCAAACCGGGGTGACGGTGACCAGAGTCGGAGGAGTGTGTCATGGAGGTGTCAGCCCGCAGGGACTGCGGCTACCCAGGCATCAGCCCCCAGGAGTGCGCCTCTCGCAAGTGCTGCTTTTCCGACGTGATTCCTCAGGTGCCCTGGTGTTTCTTCCCGCTCCCCGTGCAAGGTACTGTCACTGTGGACGAGCCCTGGACACGGAGGGCCCTGGGGGGCGGGGCTACACAGAGGGTCCTGAGCTGCACTCGAGGCCCAGATGCCACCCCAGGCCAGGGCCCCTCAACCCCGGGTGGCTGTTGCAGGACGCGAGTGTACAGATGGCGAGCTGCTGTACTGTGAGGCCACTGTCCCTGAAGGCATCCTGGACAGCTGCTGTCCAGCTGCGTGGTGGCTCCAGCAGTCCCGCTGTGTCCCGGGCTGGTTTAAAAGCATCTCGTCCTCAGCCCCGGGTCCTGGCACAGCGTGGTGGCCTCGCCCATTTTACTGTAGTTCAGTCACCATTTTTGGATGCTACCAAATGCCATTGCTGTGCTGGGTACCGGGGACGGGGCTCAGAACAAAGCGGACGTGGCCCCTTCTCTTGTGGACCTCACTGAAGTCGTGACTGTGCGTGACAGCTTCAGTGCCAGTCCTAGGAGGGTCCAGTCCCCCTCGCCCTCCCCCTCAGTCACGGTGTGTCTCCTGACACTGCGTTTGGCAAAGTAAAGGAAAGACCAGGCACGCTCAAAACGGAGGGCGGCGCTGGTCTGTGGGGGACGCTTTCCTTCCCTTTCGGGATATCAGCGTGCTCCTGAGGGCACGGCTTCGCTCTCAGAAATTCCTAAGGGCGACCTAGGCGTCTACCGGGAACATGCCCCCACCCCCAGGATACCCCAGCCCGGGGCTCTGGTCCCAGGGCGGCTCCTTCAGCGGGGGCTGCTGGGCAAACGGCCTGCCATCACGGGCCCCGCGGCTTGTTATGCAGGGTCCCTGGCGCCCCGACCTCTCACCAGCTGGCTCCGTTTTCACTTCCCAGACTGTCATTACTAGGAGGCAGTGGCCTCAGAGAACCCGCCAGCCGAGGACATCCTGAAATGAACGATCACCCAGCAGCTCGTCAGTTCTGTAGTCCACATGTCCTGAATTCTTGGGTTTTCTTAATCTGCTTTTTATCCTGTTCAGTGGTTTAACATTCAGTGTCTTCAAATAAAGAAAACCCTTAAAATCTGCTAGGTCGTTTTTGGCTTCATTGACTTACAGGTGGAGATGGGTGTGTGTGTGTGTGTGTGTGTGTGTGTGTGTGTGTGTGTGTGTGTTAACTCTTTCGTTGATTGTAAGAGCGACAATCCACCTGACACATTCAGGTGACTCCAGCAGCCATAAAATGTTTTAAGTGAATTTCAGAATCCACATCTGTTTATCGCTCCCATACTCAGTCCTTTGTATACAAACTCAAACGACTTTAGCCCTAAAAGCCTCTCGAAGTACTTTCAGATGGCAATCACAGTGGCTTCACTTTTAACGAATGCATCACAGACCACCTGCTTTTGAAATGAGTGAAGGGCTGCCCATCACCTATGCCCACCGCAGGAGGGGCTGAGGCTCGTTAGTGCCAGGTGCCCCGCCAGGCCTGGCCACACCGGAGGCAAAGCCAAGCCACTGTCACCCTTGCCTGCTGGACTTAGTGGAAGCTCCTGGTTTCGTGGCATCCCTGGGCTGCGCTGAGCCACCAGGCAGGGACCTCTGGGTGCAAGAACCGACGTGTTCTTCCCAGAATTCTCTCGGCCTACCCCACGCCCATCGCACGGCCTCCTGCAGAATTCTCCCTGACGCATTAATGTCCTAATTTCTGAGCTAATTCCTACATCCTGACAATTTACGCAGCTTCTTAAGTGACTTCGGGACGTTCGCCATGGGCTGGGGGTCCTTAGGCTATTTCAGCTGCTTCAGATAGTGTAACTCCAGCTTGCTCCAAAGCCACTGATGACAGCTGCATGGCATCCCAATGCTGTCCCCTCCTTTTTTAGGTGAGCCAGCAGAGGGTCCTAATTGTCCCTGCAGCAATAGTTAGTGACTTGCAAACACAACCCCAACAGAAAAACAAAACTTTCTCTCTCTTTCTGCCTGTCTCCTCTGTCTCGCCCCTTCCCTTCGCTCCTCCTCCTGTGATGAGATTTGTCCTTTGTCGTGCTGAGCGCTGCTTCCCTCTCCCTCCAGAGGCGCCCACGGTCACCGCTGGAGTCCGGCGGGACACTGCTGTCAGGGGCAGACTTAGCACTGAGGGCGATAGCCATCGTCCCCACCTGCGGCCTGCGGAAGGGGACAGCCAGCGTTGGCCCCTCGCTCACACCGTCTTGGTCTCCTGGCGCCACAGGTTCATCCGGGTCCTTGCCAGATGGTTCAGGTGATGAAGGCGCTTTGAGAAGAGACCACAGGGGAGAGGATTGGCCAGCTCATTGTGGGAGGGAACGATAGGGGCCATCGCAGTGACGTATGGGTAGCTGTCCAGGGTGTGCCCGTGTGGGCAGACGTCCCAGGTGCGCGCGCGCGTGGGTGGACGTCCAGGGTGCGCGCGTGTGGTAGCCGCCCCGGTGCACGCGCGTGGGTAGACGTCCCGGGTGCGCGCGTGTGTG